TTTCATGGACCTCATGGCTCATCAACGAGCATGGCATAAGCATCTGGTTATTGGGGTGATAACCGATGGAACACTAGTGTATAGCAGGCATGACAATCGAAGTTTTTTTCAGATTCAGAACTTGTAACATAATAGATTTGTATGCCTTTGTTGAATATTTACACTATCTTCCCACATGCACTCGAGTAGAGCGATAAACTGGCTCCGTCCAGCTTTCTATTCTCTTACTGGGAGAAAGAAGACGACCTGGAATGACTAAACGGGAAACAAAATTAATACACGGTGACATGTATTGTTCATCTTCAACATAGACGCAACTCGGGGAATAATGAAAACTGAAATCAGTTACACGGCTGCGAGAGAAATGCTTAAAACCCCCTGGTAGGAGCGTAGATTCACAGCACAAGGAGACAAAAAACTGCGTATAAGCAATATGTAGGGAACACAAATTAGCATGCTTCGCATTGATCTGAAAGGAGAGGACTATCATGCTGAGAAAGAAACACTGGGATATGAGAGAGCAGAATGCTGATAGATGAGAAGCTAAGATAGGTGAGCATATTGTTTATTATGCATTTAGATCGTGAACAAAAGTATATTGATGTTGAGTAGCTTGTCAATTGCCACAATAAAAGGTTATCCATGGGAAGTTGGGAACGCAAACAACTAATCCATCCAATCTCAACACATGCATGCAAGAAACAGAAAAATCAGGTAGCGCCTCACAACAAGTAACGTAAACAACAAGAAGAGAGATAGTAGCTCCTGTCTAAACAAAACTAGAACACGGTCTTTTGCGTCAAATAAAGCACTTTATTCGGTTTCCACTATTGTTTGATATTTCTGTTCAAAAGAACCCTTAAAAACGAATTTCAAAACCAATTGTTATAGCAAAATTTAATGGCACTGACATCTGTCCATTTAATCACTACAAGCCAAATGCATCTAACAACAAATCATATCGTCAACCAAGTCCATTGAATGGCCTCCTTGCTCCCCAAACAATAAAATTATGGTAATGGTTTAGGCTTGTTTATTTGATATAATTGTTAACCTCCTTTTTTCTAAATACTATGCATGTAGTCTGCCACATGCAAAGAATGACCTAACTTGAGAATATGCAGCAGAACTATGGGAGTTCATGCTGCTGCAGAGCATTTATCCTCGTGGTCAAGATTCAGAGCTTCCAGCAGCTTTGGCCAGGATTCTGGAATTCCTCCAGGAAGATCAAACTCCAACAACTTCCCACGACTACGGTAGAACTCCTCAACAGGTTGACTCTGCAAGAAAATATGGTTTGCAGATTTCAGGCCATTAATTGCAGAACAAATGACAATTACAGCTATTATTGTCAGAATCATTTAAAAAAAACCCACTTTATGCCAGAATTTAAGCTCAGTTATTATGATCGTGCACTTCTCTACCCAATATTCCTACTCCAAGGCAACATTTTTATTACTATTTACCACTTTAAAAGGAAAGTTAAAGGGAGGTGAGGGAACAGAGGAAATATGCAGCATGGCATCCATGCATTGAAACGAAAATTCTGGCATTTATATGTTATGCAAACACCCTATGGAAAAACATTATAGATAGGACAATGAATTTGAAATCAAATACACCCAACTACACTGTATACATATCAAAGGGAACGCCCAACTGATCTACTGCCTTTTCTCACAAGTTATATCAAGATAAACTACTGTTTCTTGTCCTCTCTTTTTTCCTGAATTCTGTTGTGTAAACCACTGCTGAGATATAAAAGTACAACTTAGGACACCTAGATTATGATGCAATTAGAACAACAGTAACAATAAAAAACTATAGAGTTCATGATTGTGTACATAATGATGAAAATGACAGTTGAAATTGGGCATAGTACCAAATATTACTCCATGAAATCTAGAGATAGGGAGCCTACTGGTGAATTGAGCAGAAATGCAGTTAATTGAGATTTTTTTTTTAACAAAATCTATTTTCTTTCAATAAGAAAAAGGGCAAAACTAAAAAGGAAATCTTAGTCTTTTGAGAACTATAAAGTGAACGAGAGAGTCAAACATCTTAATGTTTAGATTTCAGACATCCACAAATTCAGAATTCCAAAAATAAAAAACAGAAAATTGCTCTTGCACTTTGTGTTTTTTGTGTCACCGTGAAAAAACATAAAAATAATAAGTCAGCCATATATTTGGAGTGGAAATAGAATTTAGAACAGGTTAGTTTGTTGCATTGGTAAAAAATGTATATGCTTTGAGTGAGAACATGTATCAATGGTTTCTAACAAATTCATTTGTAACGCCAAGACTATTTGTTACTTTCCACCACATGTTGCCATATACAAGAGCACTTATTATCTTTCCAATTGTGATAATTATTTAGATAGAAATCAGAATAGACATACTGAAGCTTTTTAAGATCCATGTATCATGTCAAATCTACCGAGGAGGCTTTGGGGGGGTTTTTTTTGGGAGTGGGGGGCATACTTTTCTCTCATCAATTATCTGCAAGTTTTTCTGTGGTCTCACAAATATATATAAGTTATATTTCACTTTTGTTTTTCCAAACATACAACAAGGTACCATACACAGGCTATAAAATATTTCATCTGGCAGAAAAATACTTAAAAAGATGATATCCCATAAATTACATGTGGCTGATCAACAGATGATGTGTTATAGAACTTCACAAGTTCATATGATGATTATATTAGAAAAAGCACCAATAAGAAAAATGAAAGATGCAGTAATACCATTTCATAATAAATACGTAGTCGCTCCTTAACAACTTCTTCAGTGTCATCAGCTCTTTGGATAAGCTTTGGTGCACATTGTGGAGGAGCAGGAAGTGGATCCATATAAATTCCAGGATTCCCGTTCTCACCCTTGATGTCAATGCAAGCAATGTTGTAATTTTTTCCACACTCAACGCAAATCCTTCTCCCTAGGCATTTTGCAAGCAGCGCTTCTTCTCGAAGCTTGAGGTTCACCACCAGGTCAATGTCTGTTACTCCCTCTAGTATTTCCTGCAGTATGACCAGAACATGAATATCAGGTTAGATAGACAGACACCAGATTAATTGTCTACAATAGACGAGAAAAGGAAAACAAAGCACTTCACATAACAATTTAACTCAAAAACTGCTAATGAGAAAACTAAAAGTGCTCAACCAGCTAATCATTCACAACTAGAATTAAGTTTTTTTATCAGTTTTAAAATCCATGAAAAATATATAGACAACAGCCAACAAAACTAATCAATAATAACAATATCTCACCGCTTGTCTAATAGTTCGAGGGAAACCATCCAGAATGAAACCAGATTCACCCTTAGCTTCTCCAGCTTGAAGACGTTTTGACAGTAAGCTTATAATGATCTCATCAGAAACCAATTTCCCTTGATTCACAGTCTCCTTAAGCTACAGTACAGCAACAAAAAGAAAAATCAATAATAATCAGCTCAACAATGTTCAGATACCAATATTTGTTAGCCCAGTCATGTGGGGCCCAACTATTATAGCACCCGATAATTTTTCCAGAGTAAGAAGCAAAATATTAAACAAACACGTAACAGTCAGTGTCACAATCTCTACGAAAAATGCAGTCTTTAATAAATTTATAACGCGATTCAGTTCAAACAAAATCAATAAAAGTTACGATGCAATTCATTTCGAAATTTCAACTGCAGAGATTCAAACTTTCGCCAACCAGAGAGCCCAAAAGAAGAAAGAGGCGCCAAAATCTAAAACCCTAAAAAAAGAGAGCAAATACCTGGGAGGCAAGTGGGCCAGAGGAATTGAGCTCCTCGCGAACCAGATCACCGGTGGCGATGTGAGGAACACCGAGAAAATTGGAAAGACGCGAAGCATAGGTACCTTTACCTACACCAGGACAACCAAGAAAAACCCACTGGATATTTCCTTCCTTAGGTTCCTGACGGAGAGGTAGAGAGTTGTGAGAAAGAAAAGAAGGTACTTTGAGGTCAATTTCGGAATTCAATGTAGTTATAGAAAACCTTCGAGATATACAAGAAGAGAGTGATTTTATTGGGGTTTTATGGATTCTTGAAAGAGCAGCCATGGATAGATCCGGGTTTTTTTTGGTTGGAAATAGAAAGAGAAGAGATGGCGTGTGGAAAGCAGGAGGCGGCTTAAACTATATGCTTGGACTGGGTGAGGTGATGGGAGGTTAAAGCTTTTGTCTCCTTAGTGAGGGGAGAGACGCACGTGATTTAGGGAGTGTGTTTTTTTCCGTTGATGCTTTTAAAGTGTCATTTATATGAAAAATTATTAAACTGTTTATGTTATTATAGTGATAGCATTTATATTTTATCTAATAATAAATAAAAATTATTTAAATAATTAAATAATTTTTTTACACTAAACCACACATAATTACATTTTAAATTTAATATTGTAAAAGTTAAAATAATTTATTTTTAATAAAAAATTCATCTCACTGTAATTTTAATCAAATATAAATATTTTTAAAAATAAAACTAATTTTTTTCTTAATTTTTTTTAGTTAAACTATAAAATCTAGCACAATATTGAATACAAATTAATACTTTTATAATTTTAATGTAAAACATATAATATAATAATAATGATAACAAAATAATAATACATTTTCAATTAAAATTAAATTTTATAAGATCATTTACACGAGGAGTTAGGTGCAAATCAATAAAAAAATATTTTTTTATTTCTTTTTGGAAAGCCCACCATGAGGATGAAATTAAGCATTAACTCGTTTTCGGAATTAAGAATGCCGACTCTATTTAGGTTGGCATTGATGAAAGTGATTTTCTTGTTTTATATGTACGTATCCCTAACCAATTAAATTCGTCTTCCCAAATGTTTTCAATTATATATAAAAAGAAGTCATTTACACCCAAATTATCCATGTTCTTGCTGTAAAGAGAGGAGCTAGCATCTTTTAACAGGCCTGATCTTTCAGCCTCCCTGATCAACTAAAACATTTAAGGCAATCTACCGACACAAGTTTTATGGCAATCACTAATTGAGATTTCAAATTGTGTCCAAAACGAAGAAAAGAAGCAAGAAAACTCATCAAAACACTACAGCACCTCACAATATATTTAACCGAAAAACAAAACACAGATCGCTACCTCGTTTTGCTGATGAAAAAAACATTAGTGGATAAAAATAAAATACACACTAAGCTACTCATTGCTGCATCGTTCGAGGATGCTAAATGTGGTCAGCCCTCCCCCCGTCATCACTGATGCCATCCCCAGCATGCCTGCAACCAAACCCAACACATAAGATCATTAGTTTTATATATAATCAGATGACAGACACGGGCATGAGGCTATCTCAGCGAACAGCTCCTTTGATCAAACAATACATCAAATACAATTCCTAATGGAAGAATTCAGTTCGTCACAGTGATGTTATAGGACCTCTCATTACAGGCTACCTCAAAGCAGCGTATGCGAAGCAACTGCTAGTTAGTTGCCTGCCAATTTAGCTACTCTAAAATGCTTAACAAGACAAGACTGGGGGGCAACCGATCAAAATATGGTCTCAGGATTCTCGAGGGTGCAATGTCCAAGATAAGACAATTTGCATTATAAAAAAACTTCATAACAATCTAACCACACCCCTCAGCATTTTTCTAATATAGGGCAATCTCCAGTTTCGCCGTTACTGCACATAATTTTCATATACACAGTGACAAATATTCATTTTGTAATTGCTCCAGAATAAATGGTTATCAAAATACACTTTCACCTATTTCATAATGGAAGAATATTGAAGAAGCATGAGAAACTAACCTCCAGGATGTAGTCAGATTCCTAGCTTTCCTGTCCAACTGAAGGTTTTCAAGGGCAGTAGAAGCTCGAATAACATCCTCAGGTAGTTCATCACCATCATATCTCCAACTGTTATCATCTTTCCTGTAACCAGACATGGAAGACCCTGCTCTCCTATCTGCACCGTGTACAGTATTAGAAACAGGGAACAACTAGGAAGGAGATGGTAGAGCAAATGATGCATATTTTAATCACTCACCATATGCCTGGGAAGAAGCTGGCCTGGCAGAAAACATTTGCACAGCAGAAACAATAATGAGTGGATCAGGGAAGGAAATATTTGACACCAAAAAATAAAAAATAAAAGAATTGAAAAATTAAAAGTTGGAGTTGGCCCAGCACCTTATTAATGGAGGTAAGCCACCAGCAACAGATGATGATGAGGGTCTTCGCATGTTCCTAGACTCTACATTGGATAAGGACTCAGTTTCTGACATTCTCCTTCCAGTACCCCTTCCTTGGGATAAATTCTGTAATAAAATGATTTTCATCAATAAAACAGCGAGTGATTTTAGAAAAAAAAACATCAAGAGACAAGAAATCATGAACAAGCAATATAGTTACTTGAAATTTGAATAGACTTTTGAACCTTATTCCAGGAAAAAAAATATCTCCTAGAAAAACATACGTAAATTTTAATCTTCCAGGTCCAACAGGTTTGAGAAGCTAAGCTTCAACCTATATCTCAATGGCTTAAAAACTGAAATAAGTTTTTCTCATAAATTTTAATTTCATCTTCCATGCTTGCAGATTTATACACCATAACATATTCATCCCAGCTACAATCAACATTGAGTCTTTTAGTGGGAACTCGTACTTGGTTTCTTTAAGCCTTCAATCAACATTGAACCAACATGGATGATATTCTCCTCAGGCACCAATATTTCCATAGCTAAAAGTGGTCCCTTACTCTACCTAACATTAGCTCCTCAGCATTTGCAGTGTATAAAGATAAGAACATGGTATCTGTGACTGGAGCATTAAGAACAAAATCTTAAGTCCTATCAAACAATTAGCAAGCTCATTTCAGTCCCCATAACAAAACTAGTCCACTATTCAAGTGATATAAGGCAGCAAACAATAGCCCCCATCCATCTTAGTTCATGAACATCTTAGTAAACATCTTCCAGAACTTGACAATAGGATGCACAGCTTCCACTTCATGCATGAACAATTATTACAAACTCAGACATCACAAAGCAAACTATTGATAATTCCTTTTGATATGTTTGATTTCTTTAAGAATAATCAGTTGTGCAAGGAGATTGTGTCGCATTACATTTATAGCTGGAAGTAGGCACCATAATGCCAGTTCCAAAAGTCTTAAAAGCAGATATGCAGCTACAGATAGGGACAAACCTCAAACTTCAAGAATCCTTCAAGAACATCCAAAAGCAAAGGAGCACTATCTCCATTCCTGTTCAGGTCATATCCATTCTTGCTACTGAATTCTTTCAACTCAGCTTTCCAAGAATCCTTTTGCTGAAGGAAAGATAAGGAATGCAGTTTAATATTCACAAATCAAGTACAGTCAAAATCATATAAAGGTGTTAAAAACTCTGGAAATAATACACTGATAAATTACATGATTACCAAATTGCACTCTGGTAAATAGACTTTTAGCGTGTGATTTAGCTGCCCCCAGTCTAAGTATTCACATATTAGTGCAGTTAGCAGCCTCCCTGCATTTGTTTTTGTAAAAAAATCAACACAACATACACAAGTGACTATGAACATCTTACTTTACCAGAACACATGCACTTGTTTAAGTTACTACAAACCTTGAACATTGTGACCAAGTTACACAAGACACTTGTTTTTAGGAATGGATAGGTGGGGAATAACTATTTGATATTCTATCTTAGCAGATTCCAACAACCAATAAAAGATCAGCGATCCTGTGATGTTCTTTACACCTCAAATTCTAACAGGGAAACTTGAAGGTCCATAACCTATACGGATCTGAAAGAGCAGAATTTTGATTTTGGCTACCAATAGCATGTCCACTCATGAAGCTTCAAAGTCGTAATCACCAATGAAAGTTATTGGAAACATAAAATTTGGCCCAGGGAAAAAAACTTATTAGCTAGGCCCCCCCACATCAAAGTTGTTAACTGCCATGATGGACTGAATTGAAACATAAGTATTGGTCCAGGAGGAAAACAAACTGGCAACTTCATTCCATGACCTAGCATAAACTCACATAACCCAACAAAATGCTAGCCAATGTACACACCCACACACTATATTGGATTTCATCAATCTAAACAAACATTAAACAAGGTTTCAAAATTGAGAGACAGACTAAAAGGGTCATGCATTCAAGGAGTAACCTGATGGAGAAGCGTGAAGTTGTTTAGCACGATCATTGCAGCTTCCTAATAATGCTGGGGGTAGGCCTTCATCCTTGTCAATTACCCTATCCTCCTCTTCAATTGCCTCAAAAACACTTGCCCTCAGTTCAGCCTACAAACAGAGTAAAGATGTAAACTACAAAGATTAGAACAAAGGAAACCACAAACTTCTCCGTACGGATTACTGTGCCTGATTACATTCTCTATTCAATTCTACTCAATAACCACACTTTCTGATACAAAAGACAAAAAAAGGAGTGAATAGCGTCATTAAACACTCGGTGAACAAAATAGCTAAAATGCAGAACCAACTAGGAATTTAAAAGGGAAAACAAAAGCCGTCTGATTCACTAAAAAAAGCACAAAATCTTGAAACTTTGAGCTTTACATTTGGCTACAGGGCTTTGGTGCTGCACAAAACACGAGACCCTAGCTACAAAATATAAAATAATCATTTCTCCTCACAACCACTGGGAGAAACAAAAGAACCTAATTTCAATTTCAAACAAAGAAAATAAGATCTAGAGCAAAAACAATTATTCAAATAAACAAAGAAAAAAGGTTCCATTTTTTTCCCATGGGACAAGATCCAACCAAAAAATAAGAAACTTGACTCAAGATCAATTAGCTCGAGACAACTGAATTTAAAAAATCACAATCAAAATAATCCTTCTACTTTTCAGTTTATCATCAATATAAAAAGAAAACCAGAAAGAAAATTGGGTGATTACCCGGATCTTAGCAAGGACGCCCTTTTTCTCTAGGGTTCGAGTGACGAGTGTTTTCAGGTCCATCATTTCTCTCGTGTAATCATCCATTTTTTGTTCAGGGGAGGCTAGTTCGTTTCTCCTCAGCTCACTGTTATTTATGAAAAAAATTATTTTTTTCGAGGAGAAAGGGAAAAAAAGATAGAAGTGTTTTTCAGGGAGGAGATGGGTGTGACAGCAGTCATAACTAGGATTGCCTTTGGTGGTGAGGGGGTCTAGTTGATGGTACTGAAGGTTGGATCTGGGTCGTCCATGCCATGATCTGAGGTTTGAGTTTATGGGTCCTACTTGTGGACGAGTAAAGTAACTCCTTAAAGCATGCTTATTTTCTTTTGTGACCAGCCAACCATTCCATCCCAAAAAAATAAAAAATCAATGGATTTATCACTAATTGGTGTTCCTTCAACTCGTGAGATAAAAGTAGTTACATAAATACATCATTAATCTAAACAAATCCGAGTTATAACAGCAACATAGCAAGACAGCGTACCTGTTTTTTACTGTTTGCAAGAAAGGAAAGCATTCGTCGGTTGCTATTTTTTGAGGATTATAATTTTTTTTTATCAACTTTCACATGTTAATATTTATGAAGAATCTTAAATTGCCCTGATAATAATCATCCATAACTATATTTGGTTTAGAGAGATAGAGATCTTCGCTGTTTATTTAGTTTTCTGGCCAGTATTGTAAAATTTCTTCATTCTATAAACGTAAATTTCAAATATAATAGCATAGAAAACAAGGTTGGTCGTTAACTCAAGCAAGAATTATGTTACACTGAACCATCTAGGTGGTGGCCAAGTGGTAAGGACTTGGGATCAAAGGGTTTGCTCCCTCTATGGTCTCAGGTTCGAGTCCTTGATTGCTCATATGATGGCCACTGGAGGCTTACATGGTCGTTAACTTCAGGGCCCGTGAGATTAGTCGTGGTGCGCGTAAGCTGGCCCGGACACCCATATTAATCTAAAAAAAAAAAAAGAATTATGTTACACTGCACTTGAGTTCGTGCTTTAATAGGGAGAGGGATTTGTGTTTTTTTTTTATCTGGTTTTATTTTTTTTATATATCTGTTATTTTTACAGTTTTTTATTTATTCATTGAACTTATAAAGTATTTAATAAATTTAAAAATTAATTATGATACGTATAGATAAGTCTGGATATTTTTGGTTATCAAGGGAAAAAAAAACTATGTGTCCCTGGAGTGTTCTCGTATGGATAGATTTCGGCTTCCATCAACTAAACTATATAAAGCGTCGAATATGATATCCAAAATGTTAAATGATAACAGGCCTTGCTTCAATATTGCCGGGCTCAATTAAGACCCACCGCAACACAGGACGACAAAAAGGAGCACGGTCTTGAGATATGTCGGGCCCAGCGGCTCTTACCATTTATTCTGGGAGATCATTTTTTTGGGGTTATAATAATAATAATAATAAGGTTCATCTGAAGAATGCATAGAGAATAGATTAACGTTAGCTGTCCTGTTTCACTTTCCAGCGTTGATTTGCTGACAAATACTTATGGAATAAGACAACTTGTACATTTTGGGAATTTAAGTCCTGAAATCTTTTTTAATAAATTCAAAATAAAAAAATAAAGAAACATTGAAAAGAGAATGTTTGAGACTGTAGCAGATAATAGTTTTTAGAAAATATTTTTACTTAAAAATATATTAAAAAAATTATTTTTAATATTTTTTTAACATCAACCCATCAAAACTATAAAAAAAATTAAAAAATTAGTTTAATATTTTTTCAAATAAAAAATACTTAAAAAAACACATAAAACAACAGAAATTCTTGGACACATCCAGGCCACGTTAAAAAATAACAATAAGTGAAATGCTTTTGAAGAGCAATTTGACGAGGCACTAATTGAATGGATTCATTTTCGCGAGCAACAGTCCAAGTTTATTGCCATGGTCAGAGCATGAACAGATCCTTCTGGATTGGAGATCCATAAACAAATAGAAAGCTCTGATCACTTAAAATACCGCTTCAGATATATAAGACTACAAATATCCACAGCCCAAGTAGTTATAGCCGTGCAAAACCAGCAGAATTACCAGAGTAGAGTGACAAGATACAAGTGGGTATTCCATTGAAGCTGCCTCGTAAGACATGGCAGCATGGTGTGTTGAAAGATGCACATATTAACAAAATCAGAAGTCATATTATTGGCCTGCTAGATCTCGAACACCAAAGGATATGTGTAGGCTCAAGCCATTAAAGGTTTAGGTTAAGATACTATATTGTGCTATACCCATCCTACACGTGCTTCGCGAAGATGGCCTCAACAACACCTTGAGCTATAGGGTGATAACATTCACGAGCTTCTGCAAACACTCTTTTAGCCAAAATTTTCTCTTCATCCTTTCCAGCCCCGTGGACAAGTCCACTGTAGAGTGGACGGAGGTACTTCATCCTCCCAACTTCCTTCAAAGTCTTCTCCACTTCACCATAGTAATCCCTACACCTGGAGGAAATTGCCAGTTGGAGAAATGCCACTTTCACCTCATAGTCCTTTGATTCTGACAGCCTGTAGCGCGCATCTAAGGCTAAGACCTGCATAACAAATTATAGCAATTAGGAAGTTAGAAGTAAATTTCACTTTCATGACTCTTGGGAGGCGCCATGTTTGAACTTTAAATACAACAAGGTAAGGAATTGCCAACTGATACAAATACCAGCTAAAAAACCAATCAAAGATGCAGAATAAATTATACAGGAATCTAAGTGGTCTTTAACACCACATAAAACATGCTGCTTCTAAACTGTCCTGCATAAGTTACTGCCAAGGAGAGCACAAACAGATATGAACAGACAGTAATTAGGACATAAAGTTTCAAGAAATTAGCATCACTGCAGGTTGTAAAAAATTTCACAGCGAGAAGGGAGGGGGTTAGTATGGGGAAATTGAAAAATGTATCAAGACACTACCTGTGAGGCTTCAACAACTTTGGGCAGATTCTCCAGGTAGAGCTCCCATTCCTGTCCATTCCAGTCAGCAACTTCATCCTCTCTTGGCATCCTTCCAAGCTTAAAATCGTTTGCAAGTGACACAATCTTTGTATATAAGTTTGAAACCGGCTCATGAGCATCTGGGGGGATGCCAGTACCCTCGGTCCATTGTTGAAGGTCAATTTCTTTCTCTATTCCAGGTACATTGGCTTTGAGAAAATCAAGAAATGTCTCTGTGTCAATTGACTTGAACTTGAAGGTGGCAATATATTTCTTCAGGAACTCATCAAATGCAGGTCTTCCAATCTAAAAATTTCAAAAGTCAACCTGTAAGAATATTACTGTTATCAATCTTCAAGTTCGAACAAGAAATAACTCAATATACCTGACGTTCAATGCGCCAGAGAAACTGGAAACCCTTCTCATATGGCACTTGGGAGTATATGTCATCCGGGTCAACTCCTTCCTGATTATTCTTTAGCTTAGTGAACTCCATGTTGTCCTTGAACCTCTCCATTTCCTCATTTAAACCTCTCCAACCAATTCCAACATTCAGAGCAGCGATATCTTCACCTTTCACAACCTCAACAATTCTCCTCTCCGCATAAGTTGTGAAACCCTGGTTTCATGAATCAGAAACTTATAAATTATAACTCAAAAGGAGAAAAAATTGCCAACCTCAGCATAGCACAAACTGAACTAACAATGGGCTATTTGGAAGTTCAGGAGCATAACACACAGACATATATCCTAACAAAAATTATCCAGAAACATTTGCTCATACTTTCCTTCATACAAAACAGACATGTTAAAAAAATATCCCTAAAACTCTGACAATCATGCCAAACAATCACCATTATGTAGGTGCAAAGCAATTAAACTATTATGAACTTCTTCACACCATATTGTATAAGAGAAAATGTATAGATCAAGTGAACGAAGTCAAACAATTCATCATTGTCCAGTCACTAATGACAAGAAGACAAACAGACACTGAGATACAAACACATTCGGTACAGGAGATGAGAACACATGCAAATAAACTTGATTAAGCACACAAAGAGATAACTATTTGAGGCGGCCATTAAACTGAAACTAAATTCGATAAAAGAAAAGGCCAAATAATCAAATCAAATGTCAAAAGCAAAGATTCAGTATACCTCATTCAACCAAAAATGCTCATTATTCTTGTTAGTAATCAAATTCCCAGTCCAGCTATGAGCCAACTCATGCGCCACAACCTGCGCGCCACTCGCATCCCCTTTAATCACAGTAGGCGTCAAAAACACCATCCTTGGGTTCTCCATTCCACCATAAGGAAAACTCGGTGGCAAAACCAACAAATCAAACCTCTCCCAATCATACTCACCAAACAACATTTCCGCCTGCCTTATCATCTCTTCAGTCCCCGCAAACTCCCTCGCAGCAGCATCCAAAACCCCATCAACAGCCTCCGAATAAACCCTAGTCCTCGGCCCCACCTCTCTAAACCCCAATTCCCCAACAGCAAACGCAAACAAATACGGCGGGATTGGCTGATCCATCACAAACTCCTCCACAACTCTCCCTTCCTCACACCACAATGACTTCAAATCAAACCCAAATCCAGTCGCCTCCTTTGTCAACACCCCATCCAAGTCACTACCAACAGGGTCACGACGGTCACAATGCCTAGCAGACATAACAGCAGAAAGCCCTCTTGGAACATTCAACTTCGCAGAATAACAAACACGCGCAGCAGGCGTATCCTGGCAAGGAAAAACGGAGCGCGCGTGAACAGACTGGCATTGGGTGTAAACAAAAGGGTGAATCTTCTTAAATGTCTGGGGCGGAGAGAGCCATTGGAGGGCGGAAGAGGAAGGGGAGGTGGAGTAGAGGACGAGAATAGAGGAGTGGTTGTTGAGGGAAACGGTGAGGTGGTGGCCTTTGATTGGGTGTTCGGATGAGGAGAGGGTGAAAGGGAGGGTAGTTAGGGTTTCAGGGTCGAGGATTTTGTGGATGGTGAGGAAGCGAGTGTCGAGAGAGAGCTGGCCAGTGTGCGGGGTTTGGAGAGTGAGTAGAGCGGTGGCGTGGATGGTGGAGGAGGGGAAGTGGAAGTAGAGAGTGAGGGCGATGTGGGTTGTTAAAGGGTGAGTTGAATCGGTGAATGAGTGGGGATCGACTGGTGCCATTTGGAGTTCTGAGCTATGAAGAGGGAGAAATTGGGGGGGTTTTAAAATGTTTTAATTTTTTAGGAATCTGATTTAATGGGGGAAGAGGACGATTTGGCGAATAA